AATATAGCCATTTCGCAGGGGTTGCCTACTAATATTTTTACTACTAAAACGACCAAACACCTCAAATAGGGTTTAAATTTTCTATAGTGTGCTGCCGTGTTATCTTAACTTTAAGAATGTTTTTATTACATATACAAATATTTTTCGATTACTAAAATTCATAAAGATTAATTAACATAGTTTTGTCCAAATTATTATCTAATGTATCGAAATTTTATGAAATGTTTCCAATTCTATCAAAATATTTATAGAATACTTGTGTTACGTTTTGAAAATCTATGTATTTCGTGCAACCGTGTGATATCAAAAGTCATTTCAACGAACATTTTTTAAGCTTAAGAAGCTCGGGAAATGTAAGTTTGCATTAATGTTTTACATTACATATACCTTGTCACAAAAAGTTAATGTACTACATTCCTTTAGTTGCAGCTCTGTGTCTAAAAGGCAGATTTCGATTAGATAATCTCAACTGTGTAAAATTCTTCTTATACATTGATCAGAGAGGGTGGAAGCTATTATAATAGGTATGTATATGGGAACTAAAGCAAGGTCTGGACCATTAGTTTTGGTCTATAAAACAAGCCTTCGCTTATCGATATTCACGGTATAAGTTTTATCATAGAGGCAAATCGTAATAGGACTATGGAGGTCTGAACCCATTTCAAGCTAATTATACCGTGCACTATTAATTAGAATATCTCCCATATATATAACCGATGGAGGATTTTTCAAATTATCAAATTATCTATTGTAAAATATAATACGTCGATAATATTCAAAAGCCTTCTTTTGGAAGTAGGTGAGATTGTTGCCCAATTGCTGCCATTTCGATCTTTATTCCATAATACTACAAACTAAACTTTAATAAATTGGTCGAGTGGCGCACAATTCATGGATTTTCAATAAATAGCCATTTATTTAACTCATTTTAGCATAACAATGGAGAATAAGTAATATGTAGGGCTAATGAATGACTGTTTAAAGATTTCAAAATCACCTACGGAATTTCTTATCGATCAACACGCTTTATTCTCAAACGTTATCCGTCCACAGATTGGACAATTATTTTCCACGAAATGTCTTTGAAAAGTGTGATCTCCATTTTTTTGGATTACAAATTCATTAAAGAAATGTCAATTTGCCACAAAGTGATCCGCTTTGTCAAAATTTCACTGAGTATTCATCATTTTCCGCGCTTCACCCACTCACCGCCACTATCCTACTGCCGTGTGACATGTGGAAATGAACAATTTTAATATTCTGCTCAAGCAAAGCGTTTGCCATTTTAGCTCTCCAATTCGCGAACATTTACTATTTTATAATCAAATTTCTGACATTGAAGCTTTGGGAGATGGAAGAGGAAATTATGTATTCATAATTTCAGTTATCGCTTCCTTATTATACAATATTTAATCTTGAAAAATAAATTGAAAATTTATAATAAATATCTATGCTTAGTGTGAAAGTTAGAAATTGACAATAGCTGAATACCGATTATTCAGTCCGTCGATTTAGGGTTAGATCTACATACATTAAACCTTTAGGAGCGGGACTAAGCCTACTCTTTAAAAAGTAAGAAAGCGCTTAGTTCTGGTGTAACCGAACATTTTATACTCCTGCAACTTAAGACAAAATTAAAGCATGGAAAATACCTTCAGAGTTAGCAAAACTTGACATTAAAACAAGTAAGGAAGTTTTAAGTTCGGATGTAACAACCAACTTGCAAAGATCAAGGCCCGGGAAATTACTTCAGGTCTTGGCGAAATTTTATATTAAAGGTATTGATCCGAATCAACCCATTTTTGATACAAAGACTTACTATTATCAAGAGTTTTCATTTATTTATTGTATTATATGAACAATCATATTTCTGACACATTGACCGATATTTTCGGTAAATATTTGTAGTCAACTATAGGCACTGGTTTAAACAATTTTGTCACAAGGTGGCATATTTTAAACGCATTATTCATGAAAAGTTTTACCCCGATACAAACTTGTTTGCTTGATTGAAAGAATCAGATGGAATTTAAAATAGTGTTATATAAAATAGGCGTGGTTGTAATCCGATTTTGCACATTTTACACTATAACATAGAAATACTTGTATTAGAAGAATTTTGTGCACCGAATTTGGTTGAAATCGGTTAAGTAGATCCCAAGATATGGTTTTCATCTAAAAGTGGGCGGTGCCACCCCACTGCCTAATTTTGAACGCGGATCCTATAAAGTCATCTCATACCCTCCCTGAGTTAAAATTTAATGACTCTAGCGTGTTTATATGGGAGTGGCGGGTTGTCACCCGACTTCACCATTTTCACACTGTCGATAGGGTGCTAAAAAAAATTGATTTCAGGAAATTTCGTTATTATAGCGTTAGCGTTTTAGGAGATATGCACATTAAGCCTATTAGGGGCGGGCCACGCTCACTTAAAAAAAATTAGCTTAGTCTTAGGTGATACAAACAACCGTTAGGATTACAATCAAATTTGGTATTTTATTAAGTTATATTATAGGTCATAGACTCCCTTAGTTTTATCACTATATTTTACTTCGCTTCAATTAAAATTTTATAGTTAAACATGGTTAAGAGAGAGTTCAAGGACCATGATTTTATTCTCGCTTATAGAGGTTCCCACTAACACGACAACACGTTGACTTTTCGTTTAGACATTAAAAATTGTTGTAAGAGATGTACTGTTCGTTGCAAATGATTTTTATGAGCTTCAGCGAGCATGACAAATAAGTTATACAGTTAAATATTATTTCATTGAATTACTAGAAAACAACATAGTTCCTGATTTCTGAAAAAAGAATGTGTCATACATAGGAAACTGTCGCTTATAGAGGTAAATATAAAGTAGGAAAACGACTATCACTTATGGAGGTTTTGTTTTCTTACTCATAGAGGTTTTGAGAGGTCAAAGTTCAGGACTCAGAATTATTCTCACTAATAGTGTTTTCTCGCTTACCCAGTTCTCTCTTACTCAGGTTTGACTGTATTAAAATTATCTTCATATGAGATATATGGGATATAAACTCAACTGAGAAAGCTAAATTTAATATAATGAGTTGATGTGAAAACGTCACCCAGAACACAGTTAGTGAATTTTTATTAGGTATATGAGAGATAAGGGAAATATTGAACTGATTCAACCCATTTTTGACACTCAGAAATACTATCATCTGGAAAGCATTCTATCCGAATTTCATTTATTTATCTCACACTTTAACCGATATATTCGGTAATTAGTCCACTATAGGCAATGGGGTCCACAGTACCTAGGGACTTGAACAGTCTAGTTCGATTTGGACAATATTTGGTCATAAGGGGACACTTTAGAGACTGTTCGTTCGAAGTTTTTCCGACATATTTTATTAATTGGTGCTTAATTTGTATATGGAAATGTGAAAGAATCAGTTGCAATTTAAAATTGTGCAATGATGATTTAATGACCCCATGTAATTTTCTTTGAATACAAAGTTCTTGCTCTCTGTAATCGTTCTGTTGCTGTTCAGCTATGGCATAGATAGCTATGTAAATGTAAAATAATTATACCATGAACAGGGTATACGTAGGTTGCGTTTTATATTGTACTTTGGGACTTGGCAAACCAAGTATTGCAATCTGCCAACTCACAATCATCGTAAAGTTTGATATTTTTGATGTTATACATACTCAGAACCTTTTGACATATGAGCGCTATTTGTGTTCTTCACAGTAACTTAAACTACTTATCTCAACTTTCAACTTTACAACTTTTGACTTGGATTTACTCAGCAACGGTGCATCGATGAACGTAATTAAATTTTGGCGAAGAAGCTCCTTTAGGGACCAGTATTTATCGATGGTATAGTCGTAGATCACTTCGAGATCAATTTCGTGAAGGTCGTCCAAAATTAGTTGTTGTTCCGGAAACTATTGATCAAGACAAGATCGTCATGTAACCTATCGTGAGATTGATACAACTATAGGCATTAGTGGGACTAGCATACATTCAATATTGCATGAAAATTGAGAGAAATGTTAAAAATACGATAACGGTGTTTCGAAACACGTTTATAATATCGTGGATTTACGCGTAAGAGCTCGTAAGTAAACATCAGTCGACCGTATGGATGTTTCCAGAAGAGTCGAATCCAACAAAAGTATCCAAGAATCCCATAATTCGTGGCAAGTTTCTGGAAAATATCTCGTCAAATTAAAAATCTTTTTAAACAAGCGGTCGATTCCGATTGCTGAGTTCTCATGATAGCTATATGCTATTGTGGTCCGGCATATCGGCAGACAAGGCTTAATCGACTCAGCTCGTCATGCTGACAATTATTATATTATATACTTGTATGTATTTTATATTCTAGGGTTTTCCTTTTGGTGTTGCAAACATCGTGGAAACTAAGTGTTATTAGTTCGTTGAGCTTTAAAGATAAAATCATTTCGATAAGTTGTTTAGAATCTTTAAATCTCTCCCTTATAATAAAATACACAAACTGTATGAAAGCGACATTACTTTCTCAATTACCTTCTACTTTTCGTTACTCCTCACTTCCTTAAATACTCGTATACTTCTACCGTAACTGGAATAGAATATAACTCATTAGCCTATCTTAGAAATTTTAAAGTAGTACTCTCTGAATACTGACCGAACTCACCAATAAAATTATTCTGAAGTTAAGGATTTCAGAATACGTGAGGAGATTATAATTAATAAATTAATATTTATAAATATTTTTAATTTTCATTGCTAAAGATTTATCACATCAAAAAGTACTAGATTTCTTGCCGAGAAAATATTTACGATACAAAGGTCAGGGATCTGTCATATAAGAATATAAGTATGCAGTAAGCAGTCCCACTTGAAACCGGCAAATACTGCGTAAGACATTGCTTGACTACCATACAAGTAGTTAATTGGTTTATTGCCCTAATTCAATCAGGAGAATATTGGAATATATATACTTTAGCTTGTTAATAAAGTTGCTGGATTGATAAGATTGAATTATCTGCTGTGTTGTTGTTGCTATGTCAAGTACTGCCAACCGGCTACTAATTTTAAAAGCTATTTGGCCTCACTTCACTTGCAGCTGCGAAGGTGTTAAAATGTGTTGCAGTTGTTGTGGCGTTACTCAGCAGAAAATATGGGTTTTCTATTAGCCGTTGTGTTCATTGTCTCAGGATTACTCTTCGTTATTTTGTGGACAGACTTTATAACCGATATAATATACAATGTGAGTTTTTCACATTTGAGCTCATTACATTCTTGAAGAACTTTTAATAAAAGAACTTCGAAGATTCGCAATTTTTAAAAGCCTTCTAACATTACTAATACGTTTTTCTTCGCAGATGCTGCCACTTAGTCCTTGCTCGACCACATACGACAAATGGGTGCAACACCCATACCGGTCTACTTGTATATGTATCTCTTCAATTGGACAAATCCGGACCAGGTGCGCACAAATGGTGTTAAGCCAAATTTTCAGCAAGTGGGACCATTTGTTTATAGAGAGACAAGCTTAAAGAAGATATAACCTGGTATTCAAACAAAACCGATCTCTTCTCTTGCGAAGGAAATCAAGGTGAGACATGTTTGCCCCAAATTGATATTAATTTCACTCTTTCTACTTCCATACTGTTTATAACGTTCACAGCTCGCTTTGAATCTGCCGGCAATTGGATTTTATTGCGGAATTGCTTCTATAGTTATAGGCGCTATTATTGGAACTGTTGGCATATACTTGACCGTTACTCACCGTTGGTATGGAGAAGCTTAGAATAAATGTCTAAAATATTTTATTGCTTTTATTAAATAGATATTAAAACTATTTTTATTAAAACTGTCAAAACCTAGGCTTTCAATTTTTATAATGGAACGGTAAATGATCTTTAGCCACAGTCGTTTCTTTAGCCCGGGAAATTCTACTATTCATACATAACAGAAATTTGCATCTCAGCAAGTTGGATCTTATGTAACGCATCACCTAATCACATCTACCTTCATATGTATATCGAAAACAAATTGCCTCTGGCCTAAGGCGCTATTTTGTTGAAGGTAGTGACTCAAGAATGTGCTTATACTCTTTCTCAATCAAAACGCCGGTTATACATATAAGATGTCTTACATTAGAGCACATAATACTTAGATATATCTTATCTGACTTTGTTAGGTTTCTGACCTCGACAACTTTCAGTACTGTCATGCTTTAAGTATATTCTGAAAACAATGGAATCTAACACGTTAACATTATGTGGGTTCACTTGTTATCGGAGAGAGTGTGATATCCAATTTTTGGCCAGAAACCAATAATTTTGTAACGTTCGCTGTAACTAAACCCTACCAATTTTAAAATATTTGCGTTATATATAGTATTGGATTACATTACAGTTAATCCCCTTCTAATGGTTTCTTTGATTTAACATATCAAGGTCAGCGCCTTATCTTTGAATAACTACTTTTATTGCTATACGTATGCAGGTGTAAACTAAAGTCAATCAGACAGAATAATTGTATTTTTGATGGTATTTATACTCGTTTGTTGATAAGGTGCTAACACTATGCAACGCATAAAAATGCCCATAAGCGATGAGTAGGTGAATGTGTAGAGCATAATAAAATAAGGGTTTGCTTTCTAATTTTATACTATTTTATTCTTATCAGAAAATCCAGTTTTTATTTCGGAAGCTTCTTTTCTCACTTACTACCTCGGTTGCCTACATTCTCTTATGAGGGAAGTTGTCTGTTAGTTAACAATATCTAATTTTCTAATCACCTTCCCTTCGAAAAAGTGATAGTTACCAGGTTAGTTAGCATATTGTTATCTTACAATAATTCTTTTGGCACCTCTCGCGGACATGGCGATAAGCAAACACTTTTAACTTTCATTTAGGTTACCTAGTGTAAGAGATGAACCCTTTTATTGTCGTCATTAAAATTGATACAAATATTTATGACAGCGATATGCGTTGTTGGGGGCAATAATAATTAAAACATGCTACTAATTTCACAGTGAGTTTTGTATGCGTATATTAGGGTGCCCGTTATTTTCCAAGTTGATTTTTTTTTCAAACGTCCCATTATTTGTCAGATTTTTTAATTTTAATTTAATCTGTGTCTAGAACCATTTTAAACATCCTAGTGCACATACACGAAAGCTTTATAAGACTTAGTCATTACACGTGTATTTATAAAAGCAAAAACTGGCATTGTTATCACATTTGATATGGATTTTATTGTGTGAATTGGTGAAATACCTACATACAAATGTATGTACATACATACGAGATATGTAGGGTAATCCATTTTGAGGTTCCCTACTTTTTTTAAGAAAAATCACAGAAAATTCAAATTTAATGAAGAATGTTTATTATCATTCGAAAGAACATTCTTTATCATTTTTTTTTTTGAAGATTATCTCTTTCAAATGTTGGCCGCGGCTACGTCTCAGATGGTCCATCCATTGAGTACAATTTTCGATGACTTGTTCGAGCATTTGGACTAGTAACTGGCGAATGACACGCGTGATGTTTTGCTCCAAGGTCTGATTCGAAGCGGTATTGTCCGATCTTGGTAGCCAATCGAGCGGCCCAAAAAGCGATGATTCCACCGGCCCACAAACCACACAAAACCGTTGTTTTTCTGGACGAAATGGCAGGTCTTGATTCTCTTCATTTTGCTCTTCGTCCCAAATGCGGTATTTTTGCATTGAGCCAGAAATGGGCCTCATCGCTGAACAAAATTTGAAATTGAATGAAAACATCATTTTTACAGATGGAGGCTAAACATATATTCAGGTTAATAGATTTTTCATGAAACCATTAAGACAGTGCATTTGGAAAAAATTGCATATACATAAGTTTAAAGTCGATTTTCCTGTGGCTTGTTTATTGAAATCTCGAAAACGTCGAATCTTAAAGCGATGTCGTTAGGTAAGGTCGAGCGGCTTTAGTTCTTGCAAACTGGATTTTGACGTAAAATGCGCCAAGTCGTTCCATACGTCAGTCCCAGTTGCGGCAAACATCACCGAATCTACTCTACACGGTCTTCGTGTACACTCTTACTTACGGCCGCTATATTTTCTTCACTGCGTGCCGGACGTGGTCTGTTCGGTCGAATATTTACCAATAATAAATGCTGGGAGTATGCTTAGTAGGCCGATTATGTTTATCATAAGTAGAGCAAAGCGCGCGAAACACATTCTTTACAGAACGTGAAATTTCGTGTTGAACGATTTGTAGCTTGACACGACTCACGCGTGTTCTGTCGAGAAAAGCTATTAAAAAAAGTATATCCACTTGGATCACCCGTTATTTACAGGTGATAACAAATCTGCTACTAAACAACGAAATGCTCTTATTTTCGGCTGCACCAAAGCTATAATACTCTTCACAGGTGCATTTTTTATAGCTAAAAAGGGCATTATGCTGATTTTGATCGTTCAGTTTGGGTCGGCTAAAATTCTTAAGGAGACATTAGAACGAAGTGGGACTCATACATTTGCAAAATTAGTAGGTGAATTACATAATAAAATTTGTAGTAAATAGTGATTTGTTCTATAAAGTTGGAATATCTAGAGAAGTTATTTGTAACACCAAAGATCCAGAATCTTTCAGTAGCCCTCAACATTGGGATACCATGGCAGCTTGCTATCACGGATTATGTCTAAGTACTTCATATTTTCGACAGGGTAAAGGCGAGAGCCACCCAATAAGGGAAGGGGTGCATCCGGGATTTAATACCTCTTGGTAAATGAAACCAGTTTAATTTTTTTTGGATTGACAGCTTAAGGACTTCTTTTCGCCCAGCTAGCTATCACATTGAGGAATGTGATTATCATTTAACGACGAGTGCAACATCATCTGCATAGGCTATCAATCGACAGCATCGTCACTCGAGTTCTTTCAATACGTAATTTACTACTAAGATTCAGAGAAAAGGAGACAGAACCCCACCTTGCGTGGCGCCTCAATTGACCTTTCGTAGTGCATGTACATTGCTCCACTCCTATCCAGAGGACAAATTACATATTGCAAAGACTCACATTGGAAAAATATTGATAATTCGCGCACTTATCACACATGAGAAATGAGACACATTCTGTCATATATAAGTGAAAATGCTTCGTATCATCCACAAATAATTACCGCCTGACTTGATTTGACTGAGATTTGTATTTCGGAGACATTATTGGTACATAATTTTATCAACCTAAAGATGTCCATGTCAATTTGTCATCTAGTTCTTGTGATTCTCTGCCGTTTGGTTGCCACCTTTTAGAAGCCATACAAGATAGCAAAACTTCTGACGTAGTAAAGCCAAAATATTCCTTAATTTTTTTTTTCGTAAATACATACTAGCTCTAGAAAGCACCGTATTTGGATTTATAAAGGCCTGTTACTATATGGCTTTAAATAATTATTGTTTCCATTTTTACTTGTCACTTTGACTAAGGACCAACGAGCGGCTTTGTAGTATTTTAAAGCGTAAATTACATATATTTTGGGTTAGAACAATCGTTAGGTGCATAAATAAATATTTATGATGTGTATAATCATGTACAAACTGCTACTAGTTTGCTGTTATTTTTAGCGATAATTTTGGGTAATATTTTCTGGTACGAAGCACAGTTCACGCTAACCGTAAACGCGACCGCAAACCACTAACCCGTGTGAGCTTCCATGTAGGTGTTAACTTAGCCCATTAAGTTGCATGCCACTGGCCAACGGTGCCTACGGTGTTTTTCGCAACTGCCCACGTAGTCAGCACTTGGTTTTAGTGTGCTGGTTTCACCTCCCTTTCATAGCTACTGACCAACTGGGGTAAATGCCCCCATTCAATTTCTAATTTGTTGAAATTGCGCTAACAGAAAGTTAAAATGGCTGTCAAGATGCAAAACGCATATGTTGCACGTTTCATGCAACACTGAGCGACCGAGAGAAAAAAACGAAAATTATTAAACAAACTTACCGTAATCAAGCGTTGCATACTTGGCGGTAACTGGTTAAGTATAGCCTCTCAAAATGGTAAAATTTATTAATATGTTAATAATTGTGTGTAACATGCACCAAGCACATGCAACAGCAAACACCATATACTTTCAACTAAAAATACTTTTACAGCAAAATTAAATTACGAGATTTTTTGTTTTTGTTGAAAAACTATGAATTATGTATTTATGGGATTTTAGCACGCAAGTGTTCGGGCATTAAGTTAACTCTGAGCGTCGGCTGTAGCATAGAGCCACAATATTTGAATGAATGAGAACGATATGCGTTGCAGTAGGAGGGTTGGTATAAATTAATGAGACCTACTATTCTCGTGTTTAATATGCCGCAATCCATTATTTACTCAAGGTTCATCAGTATGATTTTAATACATTTCTTGGTGCTAACAAATTTTAGGTTTGGTCGAACTACAAGTACATATAATATTTCTCCCGTATATAGTGTGCAACTTGGGTTTATATTACAAATAGAAGATTCCGTAATATATGAAGGACTCGCAGACATCTTCAAGTCTCTGATAGATTTAATAAGAATATTTTTAAGTAAGACTTATAATAAGGATATTAGTTTTATATTGGATAAATATGCTCATAATTCTTAATCTTTTATGAAGAGGAATAGTTGCTGATAGGAATGAAATTCTCCTACTGTGCCAAAAGCAAGTTCCTTCTTTTTTGCGACACGAAATATTCATTCTGCGTTACTTGAAGCCTTATGGTTTCAGACATAGATAAATAGCTCAATTTCTAACTACAAATTACATACTCTTCCAGTATGCGTCACCACTAAACTAATTAGTTTTAATGCCATGAAACTTCGGGATAGTTTCACAGTTACGTTTGAA